CTAGCACATGTCGACATGTTCGTGATAGGACCGGTTCGCTCGTGGCCCTACTAGTGGGGATTATACACTAGTATTCCTGTTTGCCTGCCAGTGGGAACTGGCCATGACCTATAGAGGAGACGTCTATTTCGTGCCCGTACTGTATCTGTTTTCGTGATTGTACTTGTTGGCATGCTTTAAGTTTGATAAAGGGCACTCCATATTTACTTACTGAGTTTATCTCATAGTTTTTCCTTGTCCACCATTTTAGGAAGTGAAACCGAGGACGGGAAACCACGGGAAGTGACGAGTTAGAAGGCTAGCCATATTGTAATTGGATATGAAGTTTTAGATATAATCATGATCTTGTATTTGGAGATTTTAATTGGAGATTTATGATATCAGGGAGTTTATAAAATTGATCTTCAGATTTTGATGGTATCAGAGCGTGAATTGGATAAGTTCCGAGCCTTGTGCACTTGTGGGACCCGTCTCACGAGTGTACGGCGTCTGTCGCGCCTCGAATTCGGGTTTTGGGGCGTGACAAAAACCCTCCATCCCAATAAGAAATTTTTTGCTAAAGTTTAGAGTCTAAAGTCTACACATGTTGGAGTTAATAAGCCAGTCCAAAAATGAGCAGTTCCTGACTTTCCCTCTATTTACTAACCAGAGGAAGGATCTTATTTGAATTAAATCAAACATCCTTGTAAAATCAACCTCCTTGCTGTTGAAAAGCTTCCCATTCCTTATTAGCTAGACTGTCTGTGTTAGTGCAAACCAAATCGCTTCCCATCCTTGTTTCATACCTGAATATGGAATTGGATCAGCATGCTTTGCAAACCAGCAATTTTCCACACTTCCTTGCTGCAAGTTCCACCACTTACAGCATTTGGTCCACACCACTCCATGCACAAGTTTTCACTTTAACAATAGATGGCCTCTATCTTCTATGTGTTCATAGCATAAACAGTAGATTAAATCTTGAGCTTGTGAGATTATGCCCCTTTTAAATAGATTTGCCTTGGTACAGATTCTATCAAGAAATAATTGCCATACAAAAACACATTCACCTTCAGTGGAATGTTCTTGTTCCAAACACCATCAAACTCATGTTTGCGAGTATCATCAAGAAGGAATGAAGGACATTGGCATCCTGATTTTGTTGTGTAGATCTCCCTATTTTGCGTCCAGAGCCAGCAATCCTTAACTCCTTGTTGTATCTCGACTTAGATCTTGTCATCTCATCAACTTCTTATCTTGGAGAAAATTTTCAGCCTTCTACAACTGGGACGATTTTAGGGAAGAATCAATAACTAAGGGGATATCTAATAGAAGAGGAAGCATTGGGTTTATATTTCTCAACTCCAACTTTTGTAATGACAGTATATTTAAATGGCGATTTATCAAACAATGCGCCTAGCCATGGGTAAAAACCTACTTTTAGCCATCCTTTATCTTAATAAGTTTATAGGTTTTAATCCCTTATGTTATATTATAATACTTTTAATTCCTCATTTTACGAATTAAGGAAAACAGTCCTTACTTAATGTCAGTTTATAACGTTTGTCAGCTGACTGTTAATATTTCTTTAGCTCTATTCTTGTCATTGTTAACAGTCTGTCAATTGATTGTTAACAAAATATTAACAGTCAATTGATGAACATTGTAACTTCACGTTAAGTAAGGGCTATTTTTTTTTATTCATACAAGTGAGGAGCTAAAAATGTCATAATATTAATTGAGAGGTTAAAACCTACAAATTTATTAAGGTAAAGGACTTAGAAAAGGTTTTTGCCCCTAGCCATGTATGAGAAAATTTTGTCAGAAATTGTGACCTTACAAGAATCATTTTTAGTTTTCTTTACTTCTTTTTCATTTTTATTGGTACACATCTATTTATTTATTTATTTATTTATTATTATTATTATTATTATTATTATTCACATTTGATTATGAGTTACATAAAAGGACTCTTCTCACTTGATTTAAATTTCATACTTAAAATTTGTAAATCTTAAACTTTTAATCAACCGAATCACCCTTTAAGGATGTTTCAACCACATTATAAAAATTTTGTATTGGCTTCAAAATATTGGTTTCAAAAAATTATCAATCATAGGAAATAAGATTAAACTTAATAGAAAAAATGGGAGTTATTTCTGTTTGGTACATGATTTTCTCAACAACATACCTTGTGTTGCTTTACATTTTAGTTTTCTATAGTTTGCCAGGCTAATTAAGTTTGTGCAAGTTGTGGCGATAGGCAAAAAATAGGAGTGATTTGGTTGCGTTGCAAGACAATACTGCGGTTATATTGCTTAGGAAGTGTTGGGATTAGGCCCAACGCCCTCTTAGGGCCACATGCAGCAGGCCCAACTACACACCCACATGCCCAAGAGGAGGAGACATACTCACATGGGCAGCACCACGTGGGCCAATGAGAGGCTTACATGTGCAGATATACGTCAGCACTTGGGGCTATAAATACCCCCCAACTACCTCCGAAGAAGGTAATTAATCTCTACGCTTCTCTATCTGCAATTACTCCTTGAGAGCATCTCTCTCTAGAATATTGAGTATTGCTGACTTGAGCGTTAGAGTGTTTTCCCCGAGGAAACAACCTCGGGATTTTCAGGTGTAGAAGCAGCTGAAGACTTCAACAGTGTTGAATTGTGAAGCTGCCCAAACATTTGGCGTCGTCTGTGGGAACCTGAGCAAGAAGTCGTGCAGCTTAACCTGCTGAAAGACAAAATGGTTCGAACCTTTACAGGAGGTCGCCCCCCAAGAAATGAGATGGACAAACAGGAGGACGCTCAAGTATTTGAGCCCGGTTTGAATGACTTTAGGCCGATGCCAAGAAACCTCTTCGTCGGGGAAGCCGAACAGGAGCACCTAAGTGAAACGGATGATGAACGAACACCAACTAGGTATGCAACCCAGCCTGAACAATTCCAAGTTCTAACAGGAACAAGACAAAAACCTTCTAGACCACACTATTCACAGCATGAACGACCTGAATGGTCAACAGAGCCTGCTCGGACAACCGAGCTCGAAGGGAGAACCAGAGTCCTCGAAATGGCAATGGGAAAAATCCTTGCCCGCCTAATTCCTGACGACCCCCTGATTCCTTTGTTGAACAGGGATGCACAACCGGCTGCGGTTGTTGCAACTCGAAACTCCCCCGCTCTAAGCAACATAATAGTACCGACCAGGCCCAGGGGAAGTGGGAAGCTGAATATCGAGCCCAGCTCGTCCAAACACAGTGAAGAACTGATGAGAAAGAACGCGGACCTTGAGAGACAGCTACAGGACGTGCAAAAGTCTATTGACGAGCTGAAAAGTCCCAGGTCGCATCAACAGACTCTGGATTTAGATAGTGCCCCACTAAACTTATCCATCACAGCGGAGCCGTATCAAGAGGGGTTCAAAATCCCCCACTTAGAGACGTATGACGGCTCGGGTGACCCGGATGAACATTTACACACCTATCAGGCCATCATGAGAATCCAAAATGCTAACGACGCTATGATGTGCAAAGTGTTCCCGGCAACCCTGAAGTCAACAGTCAGAAGATGGTACCACAAAGTCCCCAGACACTCTATAGATTCATACTCCCAGCTCGCCAAGCTGTTCTCCAACAAATTTGCGAGCCAAAGGGAGATTAAACGCACGGCGACCGAGCTGATGCAAGTTCACCAGAAAGAGGGGGAATCTTTGAGGGACTACATGCAGCGATTCAACAAGGCTACTTTAGATATTGATAACGTCCCTGATACCATCTGCTTGTCTGCCCTGCTGCACGGTTTGAAACGTGGCAGGTTCCTAGATGACTTACTAGAAAATCCACCAAAGACGTGGAACGAAGTCAATGACAGGTCAGCTAGCTTTATACTGTCAGAGGACTTTCAGTCGTCGAAGCGGCGAGCTGATGACAAACAAAGCAAAGGCCAGGAACAGCTACTAAGAAGAAAGGATAAGAAAAAGCAGAAAGTTAATGAGCCGTGGGGGAAGCCGGCTGAATTCCCAAAATATGCTAACTACGTCCCTCTGACCTTGCCAAGGTCTCAAATTCTGACACAAATCCAACACTGGATTAGAAGGCCCCCACCCCCGTTGCATGATTCTCCGAGGGCAGACAAGAGCAAGCATTGTGACTATCATCGTGTATACGGTCACAACACAGAAGACTGCCAGCACTTAAAGGACGAGCTAGAGTTCTTAGCTCGCACTGGGAAATTAGAGGGGTATGTCTAGAAGCCTCACACCCAGCAAACAGCTCAAACCCACTTCGTGCAGGGGTACGACCGACCTCAGGGGCAAAGGTATCGGCTCGGCAACACGCAGGACATGTATCAAGATAATCAATACATTTCCGAGCCAGGCAGAGCATACAAAGGCCGCCAATTCAATAGGCGAAGCCAGGGTCAGAGACCTGCCACCCAAAGTCAAAAAGACAAAAGAGGAGTTGGGTGCACCGCAATACCTCCGTCGTCTGGTACAATTAATATGATCTCTGGCGGTATGCATTCAGGGGGCCAAAGTGCCCGAGTCCGCAAGGCATACGCCCGACAGGTGATGACCGTCAATAAAAACCAACCTTTGAAGCGGCCATTTGAGGAAGCGGAATGGGAGGCTGCAGCTATCACATTCAGCCCGGCAAATTATAAGCGGGCAAACGGAGAACCCGACGTTGTAATGCCTCATGCAGATCCATTTGTAACAATGGTTCATATAGGCAATCATAACGTCAACAAGGTCTTCATTGATACGGGCAGCTCGCCAGATATCCTTTACTGGAGCTGCTTCCAGAAGATGCAGTTGAACCCGAGCTCACTGCAAAAATATGAGGGACCCATATACGGGTTCGATAATCAGCCTGTCCCGGTGGAAGGGGTCATAACTCTACCCATCTATGTGGGCTTAGAACCGCGCTTCAGGATGGCTTCAGTCAGCTTCTTGGTCGTCAAAATGGAGTCAGCCTTCAACGCCATATTAGGAAGGGCTACTCTGTGCGAGCTGAAGGCCGTTATTTAACAGCTCCATCTCTGCATGAAATTCCCAACGCCTCAGGGAGTAGGGGCGTTAAAGGGGAATCAGAGGATGGCCAGGGCATGTTATCAGGATACATTTAAGAAGGTTGAGCTTGCTGTGGCCCCTAGAGGCTCTGAAAACAGTAGACCAACTCAGCCCGGTCAATAGACAATGAGCATAGCTGACATCGAACATAGACCTGAGGGCGTCGAACAGAAGGCAGAGCCGGTGGAGCCAATAGAAACTGTACCTTTAGACACTAACGTGCCAGAAAGGACAGTTAAGATCGGTACCAAGCTCACAGAAACAGAGCGGGCAGAACTTCTGGAGTTCTTAAGGATTAATCAGGATGTATTTGCGTGGGCTACAGATGAAATGCCCGGCATTCCAGCTGAGTTGACGGTCCACAAACTCAGCACGGATCCCACCAGACGTCCGGTAGTTCAAAAACGTCACCTTTTTGGCCCAGAAAAACAAGCTGCTATAGACGAGAAGATACAAAAGCTGCTGCAGGCAGGCTTCATCAGGAGAGTGGAGTACTCCGAGTGGGTATCTAACCCCGTGCTCGTCAAAAAGCCAAATGGCAAGTGGAGGATGTGTGTTGACTTCACCAACCTCAATGATGCGTGTCCAAAAGACCCTCATCCCTTGCCAAATGTGGAGAAGTTGGTAGAACAAGCAGCTGGACACGAACGGATGAGCTTTCTTGACGCCAGCTCAGGTTATCATCAGGTTCAATTGCTGTTAGACGACCAGGAGAAAACTGCTTTCTACGCAGGTGATGCTATTTATTGCTATATGATGATGCCATTTGGCCTGAAAAATGCTGGCGCCACATATCAGAAGCTGGTACAAATCGTCTTCAAGCTCCAGATTGGCAGAAACATAGAAGTGTATGTGGATGACATGATAGTCACCAGCGTGCGAGCCGAAGACCACATAGGCAACCTGAACGAGACCTTTCAAAATTTGCGCCGAGCACAAATGAAACTGAACCCTATGAAATGCACGTTTGCTTTGGAATCAGGGAAATTCTTAGGATACGTGGTATCCAAAAAAGGAATTGAAGTGAATCCAAACAAGGTTCAGGCCGTTCAGCAGATGGAGCCTCCCAGGACCGTGAAAGATGTACAGCGTCTGACAGGTCGTATAGCTGCATTACACAGGTTTATAGCCAGGTCGGCTGAAAGGTGCCTCCCGTTCTTTAAAGCTCTGCGAGAGCCTAAAAACTTCCAGTGGACTGATGAATGTCAACAGGCGTTTGACGAACTCAAACAGTATCTGGCATCCGCACCCCTGCTATCCAAGCCCGCGGAAGGGGAGAGTTTATACATGTACCTGGGGGTTACAGAAGAGGCAGTGAGCTCAGTTCTGCTCAGGGAAGAGAAAAAAAGCCAGAAGCCCATCTGCTATGTGAGCAAGGTTTTGCAGGGTGCCGAGCAGAATTACCCACTAGCAGAAAAGGCTGCTTTTGCCCTAGTTTACACAGCTCGTAAATTGAGGGCTTACTTCCAATCGCACCAGATCGTTGTTTATACCGATTTACCATTGAGAAAAATACTGCAGAAACCTGAACTCTCTGGTTGGCTTATTGGGTGGAGTGTCGAGCTGAGTGAATATGACCTAAAATTTCGGCCGCGCACAACCATAAAAGGCCAGGTCGTTGCGGACTTTCTGGTGGAGTGCATCTCAATGATTAAGGAAGAAAAAGCGCTCGAACACCCAGTCTGGGTTTTGTATGTTGATGGAGCAGCTAACGTTGAAGGGTCGGGCGCTGGGGCTGTATTGTTGGGCCCAGAGGGCTTTAAATCCGAGCACGCATTAAGGTTTAAGTTTCAGACGACAAATAACGCTGTAGAATATGAAGCCCTCATTTACGGCCTGAAGCTGGCGTCCGAGCTGAAAGTGCAAAGCATTCAGGTCTTTAGCAACTCTCAGCTCGTTGTGGGCCAGGTGAATGGCAGTTGTGACATCAGGGATCCACAGCTCAATCGTTATGCCTCTGTGGTCAACAGATTGAAGTCGCTATTTACCCTTTTCCAATTTGATAAAATACCGAGAGCAGATAACCACCGAGCTGGCGAGCTATCAAAGTTGGCCTCCTCGTTGGACGTTAATCCTCAGAGATCAACGATTGTCGAGGTACTCGATGCACCGAGCTACACTGATTTTGCAGTCGAGTGTCAACTGTTAAGCACAGATCCCTCTACACCGAGCTGGACCACCCCACTCATAAATTATCTACAAAGTGGCGAGCTACCTGAAGACCTGTCCGTTGCGAAAGTGGTTAAACGCAGGGCGGCACATTTCACTTTAATAGATAACCAACTCTACAAACGAGCAACCTCAATGCCCCTATTACGCTGCCTTACTCCTTATGAAGCGGAATACGCTGTGAGGGAAGTTCACAAGGGCGTATGCGGCACGCATATCGGCAGCAAAACTTTAGCTCGGAAACTCTTGAGGCATGGTTATTACTGGCCCACTATGGTTGAGGACGCGCAAGGCTATGTCAAAAAATGTCCGACCTGCCAGTTCAATGCTGATGATATACACATGCCAGGTATCTGAGCTTGTTCTAAAGACCGTACAAACTTCCTGTTTGTCTATAAACTGAGCATAAGTACCTTCCTTGAAACAGGGGAAATGCTATCATCTCTTTCGTCTCCCTGGCCCTTTGCTCAATGGGGTGTCGACCTGCTCGGCCCTTTCATCAAAGGCAAAGGAGGCTGCACTTTCCTGGTCGTTGCAGTGGATTACTTCACTAAATGGATAGAGGCTAAACCATTGTCCACGACAACGGAAAAGAAAATAGAAGATTTCTTGTTCAATTCAATATTGTGCAGGTATTCTTTGGTGGCTTAAGTCATAAATAAAAAATATGCAAACGTAGTTCGTAGCTCAGCTCGATATCTGTGTGCAGGTTCGGCATACCTAAGCGGATTATCGCCGATAATGGGCCACAGTTCCGAGCAGCAGCACTGAGGTCGTTCTGCGACGACTATGGCATTGAGCTCTCGTTAACGTCTGTGTACACCCCGCGGTCAAACGAACAGGCTGAGTCTGCCAATAAGATAGTTTTGCGAGGCCTCAAGACACGTGTTATATCTGCACGTTCTAACTGGGTTGACGAGCTCAATAAAGTTCTTTGGTCATGTCGCACAACACCCAGCTCGGCTACAGGCGAAACCCCGTTCAGCCTGGCATATGGAGCTGAGGCCATCATCCCTGTCGAGGTCGGGCTGCCATCTGTTAGATCAGGTCATCATGACGACCAGAATAATGGGCAACTCTTAAGAGAAAACCTAGACCTAGTGGAGGAAGTCAGGGAAATGGCTCGAATTAGAAACATGGCACACCAAAGCAGTGTAGCGAGATTCTACAATAAAAGGGTCCGAGATCGTCAGTTTCAGGTTGGCGATCTGGTATTACGTAAGGCTGGATTAACTAACACATATTCCCACATGGGCAAGCTCACTCCTAATTGGGAAGGTCCATACATGGTTGCTCAGGTTAACCGACCTGGATCTTACGTATTAGCAGATATGAACGGGCGCCAGTTACCGTTCACATGGAACGTTCAGAACCTTAGAAAATTTTACAGTTGATTTGTATTATCGTGGAAAGTTTGAATAATGTATGAGCAATTATTGGAAATAGTACACACAGTTTTCCAAAATTCGTTTCAATTGTATTCTTTGCAAATTCATTACATGAGGTGTCCATGAAACTACAAAATGTGTTACCAACAAAGAAATATTGAAAATACAAAAGTATAAGAAACAGAAAAAGCCTAAGTCTAATCGTCCGTTAAGTCCACGGGAGCGGACGCGTCAGCACGAGCTGGGATGGAGGTGACAGCAGAGACGGGCTGAGGCACAGGAGGAGTACTTGAAGGTTCAGCTTCTTCTACAGGAGCGTCACCAGCCCAGGTGTCGAACCTTGGCAGGTTCTCAAACTCCTTTCCTTCTTCGAGGACAGACGGTGGCCATGTTGGCAATCCTTCTTCGTTTAGCTCCCACCGGAGCCTCACTGTCGTGTCCGAAGGTTCAGTAAGGCTCTTCCCCTCTGCGTCGAACTCTTCACCTTCAAAAAACGCGAGCTCGTTGATCGGGAAGTCCGGCCGAAGCTTCAACACCTTACCACGAACGTCATTGTAGATCTCAGTCGTGGTGTTCATGGACGCCACAGCTACGGCGTCCTGGAACATGTCAGCACCTACCAGCCATTCCGCGCCTTGAGCTCGCGCGATGCTAATACAGTGCTGGTGTTGAGCTTTGACCTGCCTCAAGGATTCCTCTGCGCGACCAAGATCCTGGTCGGCCACAGCAACCCGCCCCCTCAGGGCGTTGAGATCGTTCAGCGCGCCATCTCTCTCAGCTTCCACCTTCTTCCTGAGATCCACTGCGCGAACGACCTCATCCATGGCCGCTTGAATCCCGCTCTCCTTCTCAGCTTTCACCTTATCCAGCTCCTCCTGCAGCTGGATGACCTTGTTGGCCAGCTCGTCAGCCCGGCTTTCGGCTGATGCAGCCCTGTTGGCCATCTCTGAGCTTTGCAAACGGTTCACCTCGTCCTCCAAGCTCGCCTTGTCTGAGGACAGCCGCTTGCAATTGTCAACTAGCTCTCTATTCTGTATTCGAGCTGCCTGCTCGCTCTCGAATAAAGCTACAGAATAGCTTAGCGCCTGCAACATGTCTGCAGTCAGTTTTACTCCAAAATTACAACAAAAAATGTTCATCAAGCAGAATACTCACATCCATCATCTTCAGTATTGCAGCGTGAGTCCCGTGCTGCTGAATGTAGCCTTTGGCACGATGACGATCCACAGGAGGGACGAAATTCTACATACCCTGGACCATCGCGAGCTGACAATCAGGTTTGGTGTAGCTAAAACCCTCAGGGTATGTGATTCTGGGCCCCCCACTAGCTACTGGTGGTGGAAGCGCCTCAGCCGCGCTACGCGCCTGGACCGCAGGCGCCTCAGGTGAGCGCACCACTCCAGGTTGTCTCCCAGCATCCAACCTGCGCCGAGTTAGTGGTACGTCATCTTCAGCATCGGATTCTTCGCGACCACGCCTCCGTATATCAGCAGGAGCGGGTTCTACCCTACGCTCGGCCTGTGGCCGCGAGATCGAGCTGGAAGCCTGTTCCCTCTGTGCCGAGCTGCGGGGTGCTGCAAGCGGCAGCTCGTCAAAGCGCGTTTGCCTCCTCGCGCTAGACCCAGTTCCCCTGCCTCGAGAGCGCTGAGCTCGCTCCCGTTGTCTCTCAAGCATGCTACTCATCTCTCCTGCACAAACACGTGTAATAAGACTCAACTCGTGAAAAAAGCAATTGACAATAGATTTGTACCTTCACTAAACAGGTTTGTGATATCCACAAACCCACGCATAGCGAGCAGCTCGGGGGTAACCAGGGCTTCCAAATCAACTAACCCCCCTCCCTTCACATAATTGGTGATCTTATCCCTAAGCTCCAGGTCGCCAGGGGTTAATGTGGGGTAGTTCATGTACGCGTGCCCAGGGCGCCACTCAGAAAGACGAGCTGCCAGATCCGTGCTAACCCTCTTTACTCGCGTATCCCGGACAAAGATAAATTGTCTCTTCCAACGAGACACCTTATTCCTCATGTTCTTAAAGACCACCATTTTCTCTCGCCCAGAAATGTAGTACCACCTCGTCTGTGTAGTACTCAGCCGGCACAAAAATAGCGATCTGAAAACAATGGCCTTCGCAGGTATCTGCAACCTTGCACACAGCAGCATAAAACCTACAATAAATTTTATACTGTTGGGAGTCAACTGTGTGAGCGCCAGCTCGTACTCTGACAGAATATCATAAATCAACCCGGATAATGGGAATCTCAGGCCAGCGTCGAAATGATCCACATATACAGGTATCCACCCTGTTGCTGACACACTGCAGGCCCTTTCATTTTTGGTCCCTGTTCGTAACAAAACTGTCCTAGGAACGTGGTACTGTCTCACCACTTCCTCCAGTCTCTTATACCCTTTAATGGAGGTAGGGCAGTCTGCTACCTCATGATGCAGGTTCACCCTAAACCGAAATCCGGCCGTCAGCGTATTTGGCGCTTTGCGAAGGTTGCTCAACCTACCACCTATGGTTTTATTTTCCCAACCTGCAACCGGAGGCACATTTACAGCCACCTCCATACTTTCCGGCGAGGGGCTACTTGTACTGGCAGTGTTTTCTGATGACGACCCTTCAGATGACGGAGTGGGGTTAGCACTAGAACCCTCGCGCGCGCCTGAACTGGCACTCCTCTCCGGCGTAGGGGTTTCCGGCACGTCTTGCAGTTCAGGTGGTACAATCATGGTAATGGGTTCTACGGTTATCACGTTCCCTTCCCCTTCCATACCCTGGTTACCCCGGAGTTCTCCTATTTCGCTAACAAAGTCCATTTCTTATTACCTGAAAAGTTAACTCTGAGAAACTGAGAATGTCGCCTGAAAATTTCGGACGTCCTTCGACACAGAGAAATGCAGAGAATATGGAAATGGAATGCAAAAGCAAGGACAAAGGTGACAGAGGGGTTAAGTGACTGTGCTCATCATTACTGTACTCGCCTCTCTGGTAACCAACCAAAATCCTACACGTGGCAGGCACTTATTGCTTGGCGTGTAACGTCCGCCGACTTTAACAGTCACGTCTCTTCAAACGCTGAGCCAGCATTTATTAGGGGGGGATTCAGAATACTAACCGCTCTGAACCATATCTCTTTAGAGATTTCGCAAATTTAAAATTCAAAAAGTGGCAAGGATCTACTCGTAACTGATTCATGATCTCTCCAAAGCGACCAGCTCGTAACAAAATTTCCTCAGAGATCTGTTCTAATTTGAAATGTGCAAAGTTCGAGAAATCTGCTCGTAACTGATTCATGATCTCTCCAAAGCGACCAGCTCGTAACAAAATTTCCTCAGAGATCTGTTCTAATTTGAAATGTGCAAAGTTCGAGAAATCTGCTCGTAACTGATTCATGATCTCTCCAAAGCGACCAACTCGTAACAAAATTTCCTCAGAGATCTGTTCTAATTTGAAATGTGCAAAGTTCGAGAAATCTGCTTGTAACTGATTCATGATCTCTCCAAAGCGACCAGCTCGTAACAAAATTTCCTCAGAGATCTGTTCTAATTTGAAATGTGAAAAGTTCGAGAAATCTGCTTGTAACTGATTCATGATCTCTCCAAAGCGACCAGCTCGTAACAAAATTTCCTCAGAGATCTGTTCTAATTTGAAATGTGAAAAGTTCGAGAAATCTGCTCATAACTTATTCATGATCTCTCCAAAGCGACCAGCTCGTTACAAAATTTCCTCAGAGATCTGTTCTAATTTGAAATTTGAAAAGTTCGAGAAATCTGCTCGTAACTGACTCGATCTCTCCAGAGACTTCAAACTTGATCAAATCGTAACAAATTAGAGACTTCAAACTTGAAACTCTGTCGAGATCAGATCGTTACAAATCAAAGATTCACCTTAGTGCCGAGCATCAAACGTCAGATCAGCTCTGCCCCTGCATATTTATATTACGGTTATGACTAAAGTCACCCATATCAACCCGCACGGGTCAGATACTTCAGCTCGTTCACTATACGCTAGCTCGTTCAAACGAGATAGTCCATGCGCATCTGCTCAGCCCGCTAATCAGACTGAGCTCGCCTTGCCTGACCACCCGCTTACTCGCGCCGGCCCTGCAGGAGGTCGGCAAGCAACCACTCTGTTTTCACGCTGCCCAGATCGGCCGTCCATGAGGTCGGTCAGGAACACAAAGTATCACTCCTCATCCACACGGTCAAACACCGCGCTAACAAGTCTCCCAACCCAGTTCGTCAACCGAACACCGAGGGGGGAGTAATGTTGGGATTAGGCCCAACGCCCTCTTAAGGCCACATGCAGCAGGCCCAACTACACACCCACAGGCCCAAGAGGAGGAGACATACTCACATGGGCAGCACCACGTGGGCCAATGAGAGGCTTACATGTGCAGATATA